CTTCAATCTCGGCTGCTTCCAACTTCTTCCTTGCACATGTTTATTCAAACAGCCGTGATCGTCCCAATTCTCATTGCTTTCGTAATCTCCAATGCTTGGAATTGGATCCCAACCACGTGGAAGGGGTGAGGAATGTTGCTTCATTCAACTTGAGTCGTAAGTATTTTAAACGTTCCTTTATCTCAACTATCAATTCGTGCAATGGACTCTTAGCTTTCGTGGTCACTAAAAATACAAATAGCTGGCTTAGCCCGAATAGTGTCGTGATATTAAATCCCATGACGAATGAGTACTTCGAACTCCCCAAAGATGAATTCAAAGGGAATTGTTTTACTTGCTTCTATGGATTTGGATTTTGTCCGAAAACGAAGCAATACAAAGTAGTAAGAAGCTATACTGTTCGTGATAGAAACTCCATCGTCCATAACTACAAAACAGAGATTTTTGCCATTGGGACCCAGCCGGAATGGACGAGCATTGAGTCACCAAATTGTTCTTTTAATGGATGTCATGGTGTTTACTCAAACGGAGGGTTGCATTGGATTGGACAAAATAATCTTGGTCCAGATGTCATTTATCGTTTAAATATGGAAGATGAGAAATATGAGCAGATTCCTTTTCCTAATGAAGGCGGTTATTTTCCTTGCATTGGAATATTTAATGGTGCAGTTCATTTAACTCTTTCTATGGAGGAGTGTGAGTATAGGGTGTGGAAGATGAAAGAAGATGGTTCGTGGATTAAAGCATTTAACGTCATCGTAACCGATATCAATAAAAATATACTTTCCTTCTCAAAATCGACAGTGGAACAGATTAAAATATGTAAAGATGGAAAGATCTTGTGTCTTTGGGCTGGAGTTGAATTAGTATTGTATAATCCCACCACCAACAAGATGGAGAAGATAATAGATGATGCAACTGTGAGAGATTTTTCCATTTACCACCTTGACTGTTTTAATTTTAATGCCCTTCCCGATATTTTAACAGGAAAATTAGGTAAATTTTGAGAGTAATTTGTTGTATTACGCATTCAATCTTGAGATTGAGATTTTATTTTAAATATGAGTTGAATTTAATTTTGATTATAAGTTTAGTGTTTAATTTGATATAATAAAAATAAAATTATTAACGAGACTAATTATTTAAAATTAAACTATAATAAAAACATTATAAATATGGTAACAAAAATAATTATAAATAAAATTTATGTGTGAAATTTTGAACTAAAATATTTGATTTTATTTTAGATATTTTAAATATTTTATTTTTATACTCTCATTCTCAAATATGTTAAATAAAATATTTTTGAATATCTTATTTTCAAATGAATATATTTAAAAATAACTGTGATTTTTGAGCATTTAACATATTATTTAACATATTACTAAACAAAAATAATAATTTAGTTTTTTTTAATATGAATTTTTTTTCTAAATTATCTCATATTTCTCAAATAATATATATATATATATATATATATATATATATAAAATAAATGTAAATGTTATTTAATTTTTATTAAAAATTTGTTAACATCCAAAAAAAATTAATGGTTAATAAATACATTATATTAATATAATTATCTATACACGAAAATGAGAAACTAACTTTTTTTTTTAGTTTCTAATAAAAATAAATAAATAAATAATGATTGAAATTTTCATTCGAAAATATACCTTTTAACTCAAAAATAATTCTTATAAAAAAAATATGGATTATAATAAATTAATAATAATTTTTTAATTATTTTATTAATTTTATTTTTATCCCGACGTAATTAAAATAAGAGTAATTATCAAAATTTGCTTAAAATAAATATTAGTGAGTTTAGTTTTAATATTAAATTTAATGAATAATTGTCTATTGTGAAATATAATAATTTGATCCATTAATTTTTATAACCTATCATATTAACAAATATATATATATATATATATTTAATTTAATTTAATTTGATCCATTAATATTTATAACATACCATATTATTTAATTTTTAACCTTTTATTATAAAAAGATATTTTATTTTTAAACAAAATATTTGAATCTTAAATTTAGTGTCAAATATAATATAATATAATATTAATTTATTTGATACATACGTTAAGAATATTTTAAAAAATGTCAATAACAAAGTTCGAAACTACCCGAACCCAATAAATTTCAAGTATGTTTCCTTATCACTCAAATATGTCAACTTTTGTTTAAAAACTTTATTATTTTTAATTTCATAAAATTTGTAATGTCAAATTGACCTGATCAGAATTAAATCTGGCCCCAAACCTCTACATAGACTATAAATACTACAAATTGTTATATAAAAATCATATTTGTGAGGAATGAAATTAATCTCTCGAGTTGAGACGTTACCTTAGAAATCCAAGTATATCATTAATAACTTTCATGCCATTTCTGATGTAGATTGCATGTGAGTCATTCAATCAAACTTAATTTCTTGTGTATATTTCATTTGAGTCGTTCAATTAAGCCTTGATCAAGTTTGATGGTGAGTAACACAATTTAGAGCAAGGTTATAAAGTATTGATAAGTTTGATTGTGGAGGGACTCAATTTAGAACAAAGTTACAAATTTTGCTTATTTAGTCGTGAAGAGGTAATCTAATTCTAATCTTATCTCTTGGTTGATCCGAATTTTGTACAAACAGGTGTTAACTTCTTTTTATTGAAAGGGTCTTGTTTCAACAAAAATTTGGATAGTTGGGATGAAGATTAGATTGCGTTGTCAATTTGGTATTAGATCTAGGTTGCATTTTTGTGGACGACTCCAGAATTGATTAGATCATTTCTACTATTATTTATTTATCTAAATCTGTCCATTTATTATCTTACCATAAATCATATCTAGATCTTGAAAAAAAACAAAGCAAAAAAAGAAATTCTTATCATAACAATGGTTATAATTTATTTCATCTAGGTTGCATGTTCACATTTTTTTCTTAATTCACCAAAATTTGGAACGGCTGTAACTCTAAATTTACTAGATTCTGTAAAAAAGAAAGTTAGACCGGTCTTAAAATCTTAATGTACTTTCTTTTTGTGTAATCCTATCCAAAAATTCCTTTGTTTTTGTTATTTGTTTGATGATTTCTTTGTTTTATTTTGTTGTTATTTCATAATTATCCTATCTTGATTGTCTGACTCACTATTATAATAATTGTTTTATCCATATATTAGCCTACCTTGATCATAATTTAGTCACTCTCCCAAATAGTCTACCTTTATGTGTTAAACACGATTGTTCCTGAGTGTAAAATTAGTGAGTTGAGTGTACCTTTGTGTGTTAAACACGAGTGTTCCTGGGTGTAAAATCAGTGAGTTGAGTGTACCTTTGTGTGTTAAACACGAATGTTCCTGAGTGTAAAATTAGTGAGTTGAGTGTACCTTTGTGTGTTAAACACGAGTGTTCCTGGGTGTAAAATCAGTGAGTTGAGTGTACCTTTGTGTGTTAAACACGAATGTTCCTGAGTGTAAAATTAGTGAGTTGAGTGTACCTTTGTGTGTTAAACACGAGTGTTCCTGGGTGTAAAATCAGTGAGTTGAGTGTACCTTTGTGTGTTAAACACGAATGTTCCTGAGTGTAAAATTAGTGAGTTAAGTGTACCTTTGTGTGTTAACACGAATGTTCCTGAGTGTAAAACTAGTGAGTTGTACCTATGTGTGTTAAACACGAGTGCTCCTGAGTGTAAAATCAGTAAGTTGAATGTACCTTTGTGTGTTAAACATGAGTGTTCCTGAGTGTAAAATTAGTGAGTTGAGTGTAAAATGAGCACGAGTGCTCCTGAGTGTAAAATCAGTGAGTTGAATGTAATTTTGTGTGTTAAACATGAGTGTTCCAGAGTGTAAAATTAGTGAGTTGAGTGTACCTCTATGTGTTAAACACGAGTGTTAGTGTAAAATCAGTGAGTTGAGTGTGTGAGGTCCTAAACATATTAACTACTGTACAATCATGAACCAAGATGAGGTTAATGGAGGGAAGATCAATGAGCTAGAAGAAGTCGAGAAGAAAGATGAGGAATTGGAAGATGGGAGTCATTTGACACTTATTGACTTGTTAAAACTAAGTTACGAAGAATGATGTTGATAATCAAAGAGACAATCTGTTTCACACACAATGTTTAGTCAAGGGGGACTCATTGCAGTCTTGTCATTGATACTGAAAATTGCACGAATATTGTAAGCACCATTTTGATCAAAACGTTGCAAATTTTAACCCAACATCATCCTAAACCTTACGAGCTTCACTAAAAAAAATATTAATGAAAATAATATGAGCAACGATTATTTATTTTTATAATTCAAATAATTTTATTTCAATTTAAAAGTAAGTAAAAACTCCAGTATTTGTTACTCTAAGTGTCTAAGTGTCATGCTTTGATTGGTCCATAATGTCAATTTTATCGTCATATCATCATGTTGAGTATCATCTTGTTTCGACTGAAACTTTTTCGTTTTCGCTCTGATTTGAATGAACCAAAAACGACATTGAAATTGTTATTCCCTACCTTACACAATTCAAAATACTTCTAATCGCTAATAATTGAACGCACGTTTGTTATGATCAAAACATCAATTAATTAATTTATTAAAAATAATTAATTTGAGATTAAGAACAAAAAAAAAAAAAAGCCAACATCACGGTCGATTTTGAAAAAGAAAGAATATTTTTTTTTTTTGGTAACATTTGGTAAGTTGACACTAAATGCCTTAATCCACGAACCATTTTCAAGAATATTTTTTCTAACATTTGTTACGATGACACTAAATGCTTTAGTTCACTAACCATTTTCTCAGTTATGTTAAAAAGGGTTAGATTGTGAATTCTATTTAGGTGGTTGGAGAGCGTGTTTGGGCCCAATTTTGTAGAGAGAGTGGAGAGTGGAGAATGGGCCGCTATTTAAGCTCCCTTCTTCCCTCCAAAATGTTTCACTTTTCCCGCGGCTCTTTTCCCTCTATTTTTGAACTCTCGGTAAGTCCATCATTTCCTCGCTTCCTGTCTATCCTTTTGATTCTCGCCTGAATTCGTGACAGTTCCTCTCATTTCCGTGTAAATCCTTCTTCTTCTGCATTAATTTGTTTCTCCTCTTCTTTCGATCTTGTATCTTGTATTTTTTAATGTCTTACCTTATATGTTTGATCCTTCTGCCCCTTAGTGTTCCTAATTGGTATTTTATTGCTCATTTGTAAGGCTATTTGTGTTTTGTGATGCTGATTTCTATATTTTGTTGTGCTGTTCACTGGTTTTTGGTAAGAAGTTTTCGGATGATGTGATGTTCACTGCTGAATTCTTGTGTTGTTTTTGTTTTTGTGGAAATGTCGGAGTTGAATAAACATCAACTGTTGAAGATTTTGCTTGTTTTCAGATCATTCGTTCTTTATCTCCATCTCATGTTACACTAGTATTATGATCAATGAAAAGTTTTCTGATTAAGAGTTTCCTTTCGAAGAAGTGAGTTTATTGATCAACTTTTGTTAATTTCTTGGTGAAAAAGCACTTGTGCCTGTTGTGGTATGTGCCTCAAGCAAGGCAACCATAGCAGTTTGAGGCTTAAGTATGAAGATGCTTGTGATTGTTCGGGAGTTTCAGTTATCGGTTTTGCTTGTATTTCTCCTTTTTGCACATTTATTCTCCATTGACCTGCTGGTTATGATTTTTTTTTTTTTTTTTTTGGTATTTGAATTGTACTTGCAGGTATTAATTTCAAGAATTAGGATCCTTCGCACTCATGGATAATGTATCTCCAATCCCTTTGATTAAGATGCAAGAGCATCATTCATGCTCCATTGGCTTATTTAAACGACTTGCTTCAAGTTCATTTCAGTCTGTCCAACTGTTTTGGTGGTAAGATTCTCTCTGTTCAAAGCTTGATTTGATGTCTGCACTTCAAATCATGAAGATCGATTTACATTGTTGTTTTTAAAAAGACTTGGAGAGTGTTGTTATTAGTTTATTTGATTACATTAATGCAGATTGTAACTATCGAGTTTTGGTGCTGATGGATTGTCAGCAGCAAGAGTAGAGTCTTCTGTGTTTGACAATTTAAGTGGTTAATGCTTGAACGTGGTAGAAATGGATTGTAACATGGAAGAGGCTATCAAGGCTATGAAAATTGCTGAGAAGAAGCTGGAAATCAGTGATTTTATTGGGGCGAAGAAGATGGCTCAAGCAGCACATAGGCTCTTTCCTTCGCTTGAAAACATTACTCAATTGCTAACGGTATGTGAGATTCACTGTTCAGCACAGAATAGAATCTATGGAACGGAAAATGATTGGTATGGGATTCTTCAAATTGATCAATCAGCAGACGAAACAATTATAAAAAAGCAGTACAGGAAGCTCGCACTGTTACTCCACCCAGATAAGAACAAGTTTGCTGGTGCAGAAGCTGCTTTCAAACTTGTTGGTGAAGCCAACAGACTGCTTTCTGATCAGTCAAAACGCATGTTATATGACAGGAAGTATGGAGCTGCAAGAAGAAATATTGCACCTTCCAAGTCATCTCATGATCAGCGAAATGGATTCAACAACCAAGCGAGTGGAGCTGCAAATGGCTACTCAAGTGGAGGGAATTCTTATATACCATCACAGCCTCAGCCACAGCAGGCCTTTTGGACATGCTGCCCATTTTGTAATGTGAGGTATCAGTACCTCAAATGTTATCTTAATACGATGTTGCGTTGCCAGAATTGTGGCGGTGGTTTCATCCCTCGTGATTTGAGTAGCGAAACGATGCCTCGAACATCCCACCAAGCTAACATCCCTCAGAAAAAAGCAGGAGCTTCCAAATCTGCTGCACAAAACAAACATAGTTCTGATAAGAAATCTCGGGATAGATCTGCTGGAGTTGATTTGAATGCTAACGCTGGAAAAAAACAGAAGGCACAACAAGTGGATGTGGAAGATAGACAGGGAGGTAATGTTAAGCCTAAACCCAATGCAGCAACAAGCACGAAAAAGCCTCCTACCAAGAGCGAAAACAGGAAGAGACAACGAAAATCAGCAGACTTGAAAGAGAAGATGAACAACTCTTCTGTTTGTCATGGAACTGTTGATGGTGATGCAAAGGGCATCAAACATGAACTCAAGCCCAACACAGACTTGAAAGGAGTACACGTTTTGGTGTGTTCAGATCCTGAGTTTAGCGATTTCGACAAGGATAAAGTGGAAGCTTGTTTTGCAGTCAATCAGGTATGGGCTATATATGACATCATTGATGGCATGCCAAGATTTTACGCCCGCATTAGAAAAGTGTTCTCCCCAGAATTCAAGCTCCAGTTTACCTGGTTCGAACCAAACCCAGATGACAAAGATGAAATTGAATGGAGTGATGCAGAATTGCCGGTAGCATGCGGGAAGTACACAATAGGAGAAACTGAGGTAACTGCTGATCTTCCCATGTTCTCCCATTTAGTACATTGCCCCAAGCGGGGGGGATTCAAGAATTCTTTCTTCATGCATCCCAGAAAAGGAGAAACTTGGGCTGTTTTCAAGGATTGGGATATTAAATGGAGCTCTAACCCTGAAAAACACACAGCTTTTGTGTATCAATTCGTTGAGATCTTGGGAGATTATGACGACGATGTTGGCATCTCGATTGCTTTCATGGACAAGGTCAAGGGCTTTGTCTGTTTGTTTCAGACTACTGAGAAGCATAGACTAAACTCCATTAACATCCCACCCAACGAGCTGTACAGATTCTCTCATCAAATCCCTTCGGTTAGAATGACTGGAAAGGAAGGAGAAGGCGTTCCAAAAGGGTCATTCGAATTGGATCCTGCAGCTCTTCCCCCTAATATTAACGACCATGGGTATCAAAATGGGGTATCGACACAGAAGGAAAGCAGCGCAGTTCGTGAAAATGGAGGGACGGAGAGTGTGAAGAAACATGGGAAGATTGGCGTTGAAAGAGAAACAATGATACTTAGAAGATCACCGAGGAATTTGGGGTAGAAAAATGGAGAGGACTTCATCTTCATCTGCCATGTAGGTAACCCACTAAATTCATCTCACTTCTGATCTTCCCATGTTTATCCATCTCTATTCTATTTTGGTTACCATGTTTGTAAAGTTAGCTTCTTTTTGGACTTCTAAAGAGCTTATATTCTTGGTGCTCGTTGGATTGATCTATAATACTCGATACTTTGAATAGCAGTGATTTTTTTTTTTTTTCGGTTGAATTTTTAGTCTACAAAATTAAATGCAAATTATTGTATACTGGTCTTTTGATAGAACTGCAAATTTTTAAATGCAAATTTTTAGTCTACAAGAGAGGAGGAAGAGAAGGAAGTACATTTTGATAGAACTGTCTAATGGGTATATATACGGTGTTTCAATTTACTAAATATAGCTTCCAATGATTTAAACCTACCGATATAATCTAACACATATATATATATCTGTCATATCTTTACCAAATATTTTCCAATTATATCTCTACTAGATCTAGGCATTACACTCCATATCCCAACACTTACCTACTTGCTTTTACTTCCAATTAAAAATAACATCGGCCTTGAGTATTTTAATTGGATATTTTAAAAAATATTCAACTCCACTATTGAGTAGATGCAAACACATACAATCATGAGTGAACTAATCATTTGTATTCAAGTTTAATCCATCTAACAAATCTAAAACTGGGGTTACAATAGATGGTTAGAAAGAATATTTAATTTTTTTTTTAAGATTTTAATTATTAATTCAATACCCTAAATAAGCAAAATAATAATAATAATAATAATAATAATAACAAATAATAAATAATAAATAATAAAATAAATAAATAACAATAATAAATAAATAACAACAACTAAATTTGTGCCGTGGATTAATTTCTTTTCCATTTTCTTTCTCGGGAAACGTCAAACGGAAGAGATATGTTCTTCACTGCTGCGGATTGCGATTTCACCTCCAACCTTGAGTTTCATCGGAGGATTCCGGTGACTGGAGACGTCATTTCGTCCGCGAAACGTTGGGATTCCGGTGATGGTGCAGCCAAACGACGTCGTGCTCTGAAGCTTGTGGATCGAGCGCTTTCCAAGCGTCAATACAAATCCGCTCTTTCGTTGGTCAAGCAGTTGCAGGGGAAACCCTACGGCCTTCGTGCTTTCGGTGCCGCCAAACAGGTTCATCTCTCTCTGTCAAAACATCGTTGATTTCGATCCTTTCTATCTTCGAAATCTTATTGAAAATGGCGTAGATAACCAAGAGGCCTTCAGCAATGGACGAGTCAGAGCTCAATACAAAGGATATTTTATCCCTCCAACCATTGGTGGATTCGATTCTGGATTCAATTCAGCCATGTCTTCAGGTACATTCCCTGCTTCTTGTTATGCAAGTTTTTGTTTCTGAAAATTTCATGCCTCTTCATTTATCCGTTCGTTCTCTTATAGATCTCTGCTGAAAGGCTAGAGAGTTTAATTGCTGAAGGTAGATATCCCTCTCGTTGTGAAGAAGAAGAACACCTCATTTGTGCACAAGTAAAGTGAGCTAAATTTACTGATTCTTTCATGGATGTTTCTACTATTGTTTGTGAGTTCGAGTTTGTAATTGGAAGTTTGGATTATGCGTGCAGCATGAAGCTGGACATTTTCTCGTTGGCTATCTGATGGGCGTTCTTCCAAAACAATATGAGGTGCCAAGCATTCAAGCTCTTAGACAGAATAGATTTGCTGAAGGAAATGTTTCATTTGTTGGTTTTGAATTTCTTGGGCAGGTACGATCCTTTTCATGAAGTTCTTGGATCTTCCTTCATATATTTGATCTGTAAGGCTTCTTAGAAAATCCACTTTAAGGCACGTTTTGGTTTTGCTTCCTCACTGTTTCAAAGAAATATGATAGATTATCATTGTTATGTAATGGTATGAGCCCACCGCTAGCGAGTATTGTCGTTGTGATGTCCCACATTGGTTGGGGAGGAGAACAAAACACCCTTTATAAGGGTGTGGAAACCTTCCCCTACCAGACACATTTTAAAGCCTTGAGGGGAAGCCCGAAAGGGAAAACCCAAAGAGGATAATATCTGCTAGCGGAGGATCTGGGTAGTTACAGTCCTCTTTAGTCTTTCTGTTTCAGGCTTCCCTTCAAGGTTTTTAAAACGTGTCTGTTAGGAGAGGTTTTCACATCCTTATAAATGGTGTTCCGTACTCCTCCCCCATTAATATGAGATCTCACAATCCACTCCTTCGAGGATGCCGCTGGCACTCGTACATTTCTCCGATCGATGTGGGATCTCACAGCTAAATCTCTTCTCTTCTGATTCTTCTGCCCAATTGATTTAGTATGTGGGATTATATCCATTCAACATTATCCCTTGAAGCGAAACTAATGTTCATTCTGATCAACTCTCCATGCAGATTGATTCAATTAAGATTTTGGTGGAAAATGCTGATATAAAAAATTTGCATGAGAGGGTGAGATTTCTTCACTTATTTTAATGTATTAATCCTGATTTCTATAGCTCTAATCTGTTCTGTATCATGCAGGAAAATAAAGGCAGACAGGAAAATAAAGGCACAATTTCCTTAACGGTGAAAAGTTCACTTCTTACTTTGTATGCTATTGCGTAAAGCCTTTAATGACTTTCTGTTAGTTGGTTTCGACCCGTTTGAATAAGTTTGTATGCCACCGCTAGTAGATATTGTCTGCTTTGGCCCACTATGTATCGTCGTCAACCTCACGGTTTTAAAACACGTTTGTTAGTGAGAGGTTTCCACACCATTCCCCTCTCCAATCTATGTGGGATCTCACAATCCACCCCTTGGGGCCAGCGTCCTCACCATCCTCACATTCCACACCCCCCTTGGAGGCCTTCTCTGCCGTACCGTCTAGTGTCTAGCTCTACTACCAACTATAATAGTCCAAGCCTACTGCTAGTAGATATTGCTTGCTTTAGCCCATTACAATCGTCATTAGCCTCACAGTTTTAAAACGCATTTGTAGTGAGAGGTTTCCACACCCTTATAAGTAATGTTTTGTTCCCCTCTTCAATTTATGTGGGATCTCACAATCCACCCCTCAGGGACTCAGCGTCCTCGCTGCCACACCATCTTCACATTTCACCTCCCTTGGGGGCCTAACATCCTGCTGCCATATTGTCTGATGTCTAGCTTTGATGTCAACTATAATAGCTTAAGCCCACCGTTAGTAGATATTGTCCAGTTTGGCCCATTACGTATCTCGTCAGCCTCAGTTTTAAATTGCGTTTGTTAGTGAGAGGTTTCCACGCACCCTTTAATTAATGTTCTGTTCCCCTCTCCATCCGACCTGGGATCTCACACATCCAATCTTTTGAGAAAGATAAGACATCGAAAATTAAGTGCTCTTTGATAGTTGTTTGTCGTTTAGAATTGAAATTTAATATAAGTTCAACTATTTTTCAATCGGTCGTTGTTCTGTTTTCTTCTTTAAAGTTGTTTTTACTTATCCTATTCTTAAAATAACCGTAGTTGTTCATTAGACCGCATTCGAAGCTGGGAAAGAAACCCAACTCAAAGACGGGAAATCTTGAATTCAATCGAATTCCTGAAATAGAGGAATGGTCTGATTATCTTGAATGACTTTGTGACTTGGGGAATTGCTAGAGAAGTTTTTTGAACAGAATCCTTTTTTCCTTTGGTGTTTCAGAAATTGAACCAGTTTTCATGTGTAATATTAGGAGGCTTAGTGGCTGAGCTTCTCGTTGCTGGAAATTCTGATGGCCATCTAGCAGATATTCTCAAGGTAAAACAAGTCCTTTCCCTGTGATTTTCTCGCCTTGTTTTCCATTTTCTAGTACCTATTTCTTATTGTTATTTGCAATAGCTGGAGAGTGTTCTTGTATGGCTTGGCCTTCCAAAGTCTGATGCTGATCGTCATTTGAAATGGGCTGCGATGAACACGGCATTTATAATGTCCCGACATAGTGAAACAAGATTAATACTCGCAAAGGTCATGGCGTTGGGGAAATCGATCGGATTTTGTATTGATACAATTGAAAATTGTTTGCAGGGGATAGAGATATAAAAATTGATTGTCATCATATTTGGCTAGATAATGCCGTGATTTTTGGCTAGATAATGCTCTAGAATGCATGGTAACCAATATGTAGTACGAGTTTTCTTGATAACAAATTGTAATCAAATGAACAATGGTAGAGATAAACTTACAAAATGGTCTAACTTCATTGGGTTGAATATAAAAGTAGATCTATTGATATTATGTTTTGTTTATTGTGCACTTTTATCCCTGGGAGTGATAAAGCTTGGCCTAACCCTCCAAGTTTCGTTAAACCAATAACTAATTAACGCAAGAAACAAGGTTAGAATTAGATTACTATTAAATTATCTCTTAGATTACCTTTTTTGATCTAGGAGCAAGATTTTAAATCAAAAATTGAGTTATTCCATTGAGAGTCTTGATTGATTGAAACTCTTGATCAAGACCATTAATGAGAGTCTTGATTGAAACTTGATTGAAACTTTGAACTAGATCAAGACCATTAAGGGGAGTCTTGATTGATTGAAACTTTGTTTTTATTTGTTTTAAATTGAGCCACTCTATAATTGAACTTGATCAAGACCATTAATGACAAGAGAGTCTTGATTGAATGTTTCAGATGCAATCTGCCACAAGAATTGCATTAATGGCAAATCTTGTTCTAAATTGTTCTAAATTTTTCTAAACTGAGTCACTTCATAATCGAACTTGATTGAATGACTAATGACAAAGATGATACTTGGATGGTGACTTGATTGAATGACTAATGACAAAAATGATACTCAGATGGTAGATGATGGGTATTTATAGTCTCTCCACAAAATAAGTTTGTGGCGTTTAATTGAACTTGATTGAATGATTATAATCGAACTAGATTGAATGACTAATAACAAAGAGGTGGTGGGTATTTATAGTCTCTTCACAAAATACATTTGTGGCATTTAATCGAGATCCTCTTAGATCTCCATAATTTGTATGACTTGAATGTATTGACTCCGTTGAACCAAATATTTTATAATAAAATGCTAAAAATTAAATTACTTTTTATTGGTACTCTTTGCAATCAAAATTTCATATACATACTTTTTTATGCTTATAATACTTTTTTCTCCCTTTGATTCTAAGGAAAATTCTTCGGGAAAATTAATTTTATATGCATTGTTATTAATTCTCTTCAGAATATGAT